GTGAGTCTCTTCATTGTACAATGGGTCGAAGGCACCAATGCTGACTCATTTGGTTTATGTTTTATAGGAAGACCCGAGAATAGCCCTTGGCATTATGAAAGACCGGGAGGTGGCTCCTAGCAATTTGTATGCGAGACCAAAGTTTGAACTCTAGAAGTTAATTGGTTAAGTAGTTGTAGATTATATGCTAGTTATCTTTATGATGCTTGCATGGAAGACCAGGAGGTGGCTCCTAATACTTTTCTGTAAGATCCAAGGTTTTGGACCTCGGCTTGACACGAAAGACCATGAAGTGACTCATGGCATAATGGCAAGACTATGGCTGACACATAACACTTCTTAATGTATGTTTGATATGTACAACTCGTATGTTATGTATGGTATGTGGTATTTTGTTGAATTCACTAAGCTTTATGCTTACCGTTTGTGGTTTATGGTTTCAGGTAATTTTGGTTTGAAAGGGAAGGTCCTGGATTGATGACAACGCATATACTCATGTTTTCCGCAATTCGTGATTTTGGGAATGAACTCTAATAATTTTTTTATTTTGAAATACTTCTAAATGTATGAATAAAGGTTAACTGAATGTTTTGATTTTAATGAAAATGAAAAATTTACCCTGTGATTTTCGGGATGTTACATGTAGAGTCTCACAGACAACTAACATTCTAACCATAATAAACCATGGCCCGACATTGGTGAATTTGACCCATCAATATAACGAGGAAATGCACCTCTAATTGCTAAATCATTCAGATAAATCTATGTCTGCTGGTCCTGCAAATCCCCGCATTGCCATCATAAAACTTATCCAATTAATAATTAGATTTGGACCCATATCTAAGAGTCTAAGTTAGGGTAAAAGGCCATTTTCCCCTTTATCTAACTTGGGACAAGGCCAAGGCCCAATCCAACTAGTCGAAAGGCCCAAAACCAAAATGATCACCCAAAGCCAAATTATACTAAGCCCAAACGAATGTCTTAATGGCTTAGGATCCCATGTCTAAACTTCCAAACGAATGTATTAATAGCTTAAGATCCCATGTCCAAACTTCAGATACAATTATAATGGAATGTCTAAAGCCATAAATTTGCAAACTTTATGGCCATGCATGGCTACAATGAGCCCAACACCAAGATCCTAACTCAAAATCAACTATAAGGCTCCAAAACTCTTGCATGGAAGATTATAAAGACCCAAGATTGTATTTTTATGATTCTATACTCACAATTATGCTTTAATGGACAGTCCAAACCTCTGGAGCATTCCAAACTCACAAAGATCAAGTCTTTGGGATCAAAAAGAACATAAACAATCCCTAAATCAAGATATAACAAATGAGACATCAAGATCTGAACTTTATACCTCAAAATGATGCTTCAAGATATCAAGACTCCATATCTATAAGTTAGAGAACAACCATACTACCCCAAAGATCTTCCTTCTCTTATTAAGAACACTAAATCATACCAAAAAGATGAACCAAGGCTTCAAACTCTCATACACACTTAGGGTTTTCGAAATGAGGATGGAGGCTGGAGCGGTGAAGGGTTTTGAGGCCATAATGTTCTTTAAATAAGGTGTCGACCCTAAAAATTAGGGTTTGGTCTCTACGTGCAAACACATGGTGTCAATCATAGAACATCTGGCGGTTTATGCCAAACGCTTGGCATTTGGACCAAAGTGCCAAAAATTAACTCAATAAGGGTCTAAAATGAAAAGTACTTTGAATCAGGTGTTACAATGTGAGGAGTAGCTAAGAGTACACCCCGCGTGCTCTGCTTAACCCACATTTATCAACTTTTATGTCTTAATTTGTTAACACACTTATCCCAACTTTAGATCTGACCATAATAGCATGTCTTAACCCATAAAGTCACCGAATTTATACCTTTGCATGGCTAGAAAGGACCCAATACACAAAACTCTAAATTTCATCATACTCTAAGTCACTTAACTTATGCATAGGCTAAGGGAAATGATCAAGCAACCATTTTTATGAATCTACAAGATTTAGAATACATGAAAGGACAACTATAATGCTCTGGAGTGCTCCATACTTACAAAGGTCCAAGATTTGGAGCAAAGAGCTCATAAAAACTCATCTATGTAGATTTAAAAGGAAACACATCAAGGTATAAACTTTATACCTTCAGAAGATGTACAAGGTAAAGTAGTTTCTGGATCTACAAGTTTCAAGAAACACCTCCTTCTTCACTAGTCTTCTTATTCAACAATTGAGCACCAAAATCACTAATAAGCTCCAAACTCTCACACACAAAGCTTAGACTCAAGATTAGGGTTTATGATGGAAGGGTGGCCGATAAGAAATGTCCAATGGAGGCATAAGGTGGATTAATTAGGGAGAAACCCTTAAAATTAGGGTTTTAGAGGCTGAGCTAGTACACTCGGTGTACCACAGGTACGCCCAGTGTACCAGTATGGCTTTCGTGATCCCGGTTCTCACAAGTACTCTGCACGTACCTTACATATAGGCTGAATTGCGATTCTTTAAGCAACATGGAACCAAATGTGCAAACTTTAAATATGCTAAGGGCTAAAATGAAAATACCTGCAAATCGGATGTTACAATCCGCCCCTGTTTGCATGCTCTAGGAATGTCATATCTTTGTGTAACCTAAGATGGAACAACTATATTTAGTTTACTTTGTTTTAGATAATTATGATTATAGTGTATTTTGTTTTACAACTTATAAGGAGGCCATGAATTTAAATGTAGAAACGATGACCGATGACTAAACTAGTTGTTTTCTTTTTTGCAAAGACCTAATGTGATCAACTAAGGTGCTGTTTTTTTTTTTTTTTTTTTTTTGTAGTCGAAAATTCATGAAGTATGCGAATCATCTCTGCAACCCTCTGCGGTAGAAGAGGTGGATCAACCAACTGTAGCCTGTAATAAGAAGACTGTTTGTTTTTTAGCATCTATAGACTGCTGCAATAAAGTGATTTTTTCTTACCAGTTTAGCAACCAGATTAGGCGAGTTGCATCAAAACTTGATTGTCCCGTTGTTCTTATAAAATGTTTTTCTTAAAGCTAACTTTGTAGATATTTATTTTACTTACTTTAATAAAGATGGTCGTTACCAATGAAACGTAGGAATTAACTGAGAGATGGTAAATGAGAAATTTCTTAGATTAAGTATTTAATACTAGTTATTACCATCCCAATTCATACGTTAATTAAGTATAAAACAAACCCACCATCTAATGAAGGTGGTTAAAAATTATAGATGATGTAAACAATTGACATAATTGGTAAAACTTTTGTGAACTCTTAACAAACCATGTTCAAACGTAAAAGTATTTTTGAACTTAAATCTTGCATCACTATTAAAATCGTATAGTGATGGGTGTTCAAAAGATCCAAAAACCGAAAAATCGTACAAAAATACCGAAAAATCGTGCCATTAGGTTAATCGAACCAAATTTTTTTACATTTCCGGTTTTGTTAACCAAACCGCTAAAATCTATGGTTTTTCGATTCAATTACGATTGATGTTTTTTTTTGCCATGTACGAGTGAATTTTTATTGACTTAATTATTTATTCAAAATAAAATATGCAAATTGCAACGTAATAACATATTAATGTTTAGACGGCAGTGGTTTTTCTTATTGTTTTGAATTGGATTATATATATATATATATATATATATATATATATATATATATATATATATATATATATATATATATATATATATATATTCAAAAAATGTCTATTTAGGGCTTCACTTATAGTATTGGTCTTTTAATTTATTAATTTTAACACCTTAAGTTATTATTTCATATCCTTTGTTTTATGCCATTATTTTTATTATTTTTTCAAAATTGGACAATTATTAAGAAGTCCGACCAAAAACCAAATATTATAAATAAGGGGAAATTACACCGTTGGTCTCTCGTGCACATGCCAGAAAGCATGTGTAGTCCCTATTTCCAAAATTTAACTCGTGCAGTCCCTCGTTGTTATTTATCTTGCATGGTTAGTCCCTATGCACGTTAACTGTTAAATCTTTCCGTTTAAGCTACCCACGTGCCTTGCACGCAGGGGCATTTTCGTCTTTTTAGGGTTTGTGTCCATATTTAATGCCGTTACTCCTTAAATCTTATAAAGAACACTGCAACCCTCTTTTCCTCTGTATCCTCTCGTTCGTCTCTTCCCCTCGTTCGTCTCTTCCCCTCGTTCGATCGATTTCTTCCAAATACATAACAATGATCGATATTAAATGCAATTGTGGAGCCACTGCAGTGATTCGCACATCTTATAGCAAAAGAAACCCTGGGAAACTCTATTATGCTTGTACAGTAAAGGTAAGGTTAATGATTTCAATTTCGTTCTTCGTCTTCTCTAATTTTGCCCTAATTCTTCATCTACTTTAATTGGTTCAGGGACCATTATGCAAGTTCATAGGATGGGTGAATGATTATGATCAGGACTGTGATTGTATGGCGTTTAGGATGAAACTTGAAGAACAAAATCGCAAATTGAAGCTTTACCTAGTTATTAGCTGGGTTTTTTTTGTTTCAGTCCTTATATATAAAGTGTAGGTTAAGTAATGAAGTTGTTAGTATTTTGGTATGTGTATATTGTAATGGAGACTCTTTGTAATGTTATTTGTATTAACAAAAAAATTTCAATTTTAGTTACAATATATTGTGTAATCATAATGTGGTGTTATCAGTTGGTGTTCAAATTTAATGAAAATGTGGTATTTGCAACATATGCAATATACCATTCAATACTAGCATCCAATATAACAATTAAAAGGACAAAAACTCTAAAATATCCAAGATAACCATTGACCATTAACATAAAGGGACATCCAAAATAACAACATAGTCTTATGGCATACAAATAGTTATCCTACACAGCAACAAAGTATCAAAATACAACACATAACAACAAAGTAATATGGCAATAAATGCCTAACAAAAACATAGTTATCCTTCATGATCATGATACCAAACTACAAATTCTCAAAGCATGGGGCTTTTTCCTTTGTTCCCAACTCCATTTTGTACACCACCACTGCTACCTGTTGCACCTTCTCCTGTTGTATTCCCTGCTGCACCTTCTCCTGTTCCATTCCCAGTCTGTGATTGTCCCTTGCAGGTCCTTCCATTATGGCCCACATTTCCACATTTTGTGCATGTTACAGATTTCCATTTTGTGGACACTCCATCATCTTCTGTTGCAGATCTTCTTCTCTTTTTTTTTGGTCTGCCAATAGGGACACGATACTTTGGTGGTATCAACTTGGTAGGACATGTGCTTTTTTCCCACAATAACCTCCCATTAATAGGTTCAACTTTGAAGACATACATTTCTTTCCATGTCTTGAGCCAATAAGTTGGGTGTACCCATGTCTCAGGTATTCCAACATTTTCATTGTTGAGCCTCATATCCCATATAGCTGCTATACTATGTTTGCAGGGTATGCCTGTCAGTTCCCACCTATTACATGAACAAGTTTGTTGGTCCATATTAACCACATACTGATTAGTACCTTCACTTGTAACCTGGTACTTCCCATTGCCACAGAACACTGCCCTACACTGTGCTGCCCTTTCTTTAATTTTTTCAAGGGTCTTAGTGGCTGTAGGAGTTAATGGGCCATTAGCTTTATCAATTTCTTTTTGAACCATGACAATTTTCCTCATGATATACTCCCTAATAAACTCCAAGCAACTGATAATTGGCTTATCACGACCCTTCACTATCTTGCTATTCAAACTCTCACACATATTATTCAACAGCATCACAATGTGCCCTCCCTAATAAAACACAACTGTATTAGATTATATTTAAAAATTATACACTTATAAACATAATATTATATACCTGAGAAGTGGGATCTGGACCAGTGCTTAGGTGGAATAGAATTAAGCCAGTCATATGCTTCACTGTTAAGTTTCTTTAGTTCTTCCATGGCACTGTTGAATTGTGGTATGGTGGTACATGTTGCACATTTCCAAAGACAATCCTTGAATTCCTTGCCCCTCCATTTACGTTTCATGTTCTCATGAAGATGCCTTAGGCAATATCTATGCTCTGCTGCTGGGAAAAGTTTCTCAAGTGCAGGCAATAACCCCTAAATCATCAAAAGAGTGAAGTTGCTTATTGAATTGTAAAACATGCATGTGAAAATGAATGGAGAAATTTATTTACCTTCTGTCTATCTGATATGAAAGTGAAGTTGGAGTTTGCATACAAACCAAGATCATCTCCTAAGTTAGTTAAAAACCAGGTCCATGAATTAAAGTTCTCTGCTTCAACAACTGCATATGCCAAAGGGTATGTGCAATTGTTCCCATCTAAACCCTGAATTATCATGTCAAACACAGTAATAAGCAAACAATTAACTATGGTCAAACATTAATCAAATACTAAAATATGATTATGCACATACCACTGCTGTCAGGATCATACCATGGTATGGACCCTTCATGAATGCACCATCAAGCCCTAGTAAATCTCTTTTCCCTGCTGCAAATCCACTTTTCAGTGGACCAAGACAAATGTATACTCGTTCAAATACCCTGGTCTCAGATGCATAACATGGTTCACTTTGCACTTGAAGTTTGACTGTGGTGTTTGGATTTCTACTCTGCACCTCCTTGTAAGTAGTCTCTTAGACATGAGTACTGAGCAGCAAAATCTCCCCTAATTGATTCCAGGGCTTTCGTTTTCGCCCTATGAACTTTCATGTCTGACAATCCAAGTTGGTATTTCTTCTCAAGCATCTCACGTAATGCTCTAAGTGGTATTTCTGGGTTTGCCTCCACTGTGTCAACAATCTGTTCAGAGAGAAACTTGTAGTTACATGCCCTAATTTCCTTGTTTGAAGGCACGTATGTTGCTTTTCATAGGTCTTAACAGTCCAGTTAATGTCTTTTTTCCACTTACTCACTAGTAGGACCCATGGGCATTTATGAATAGAACCATCTTTCACTTTCTTTTTCTTTTGACTTGGTCCCACTTTGTCATTACTTTTGCTGGTCCCACCTGTTTCTAATATCCCAAGGTTTGGTATTGTCCCTTTGCAAACCACTCTAATCCTATTTTTGTCATTCTTGACGAAGTCTAACTCCCTTCTACTCTGTATGGAATGAAGATAAATTTGTTGTTTAACTTCCTTGGCTGTGCTAAAAGTCTGGTGGATGTAAAATGGATCTTTGACAGCAGCTGCTTCATTCTTATGTGCTCTTCGTAAATCTCTTATCTTCTTCCTTTTTTTACTAGCTTCACCCTCATCTGATGAAGATGCAGATACAAATTCTTCAGTGTTTATAACCTCTAATTCTTCATCACCTTCTACTGCTTCATCTCGATCATCAGGAAAACTTCCAACCCACTCCACCTCTTTGTCAATGTTGAGGTGAAAGTTCTTCATATCAACCTCTGGATCATCTAACAAATTATCTTCATCAACTATGTAATCGCTATCTTGACTGTATTCACTATCTTCAGTGTCATCACTATCATGACTGTCTTTACTAGCTTGACTGTCTTCACCTGCTTTTTCACTATTTGGTTCATCTTGTTCCATAGGAGTCCCACCAAAAGGTTCACACCATTCAAATGTATCATCCCAACCATCAACATTAGGACATGTGCTTCCTATCATTGGTTCAGTCAAAGGGCTTTCAATTCTTGGTATATAGGCAGGGGTTGACTCAACTGTTTCACTCAATGTAACAAGGGGTTGTTCCAAGGTTGTTTCAAGTAATGTACTAGGGGGTTCGTCCATAGTTTCTACATTCTCAAAAACAGGGGCTTCTTCACTAGGACAATCCCCTGAATTTGACCATGTCAATAACAAGCTTTTACGACAAAGGGACTCAGGAATTTCGTGTATCTTTATCTTTGCAGGGTTTGGGGACATTTGATACGTATGGAGCTTGGTTTCCCAAAACTCTGTATACACTTCTATCACCTTGTGTTCATACACGTATGACCTAAAGTGGTTTATATCTTCGTCACAACCCAAAGCATACAACCCAAAATCTAAATCCCAGGTTGGTCGTTTGAAATGATAATAAATACTTTTACCTGGTTCCACACAACCAAGCAATTCCATTATCTCGTCCATATCATGCACCGAGAACAAGTCACTATCAATGCCATCAATATATTTCATCTTCCCCTTTATGTATTTGCGGCCTGGAAACTTCGTAAAAACTCCACCATAGTTCAATCGTATCGAGAACATACATGGATTGTCAGCTGCGAACCCAAAAAAAAAATTACGTTTTAGGAACGTATAATGGATGATCAACTGAAAATGTAGAAAATTTTACCGTATGAGCTTTGGAGATTGTATTCCTCCCATTCTTGCCTAATCCTCCAGTTCACCATCGTAGAAAACTAGGGTTTTCTCGTGCAATGCTAAGGGTCGACGGAGGATGAAATCAGAAATGATCGGTTATCGAAGTCGCGCCATACTGGTTCATGTATACAAACCCTGAAAAGACGAAAATGCCCCTGCGTGCAAGGCACGTGGGTAGCTTAAACGGAAGAAGTTAACAGTTAACGTGCATAGGGACTAACCATGCAAGATAAATAACAACGAGGGACTGCACGAGTTAAATTTTGGAAATAGGGACTACACATGCTTTCTGGCATGTGCACGAGGGACCAACGGTGTAATTTACCCTATAAATAAATAGCATCCATTGGATTTTTCAACCAATGAATCATATAAACGACATTTCTTCACCCGATTCTCCAAAATAATAATTAAAAAAAAAAAGTTTCTCCACCAAAAAAGATGGAATTCCAATATCACCAAAGGATCCAACAAGTCGTCAAGACGATCACTTCAACGGCCAACTTTTTTAAGGTCAAAAGACGAATAGAAATCACCTACATAATCATATCTAAAAAAGCATCAAAAACCGGAGTCATGCAAAGGGAAAGTCACATTCAAATTTCTAGCAACCACCTCAAATTACCCAACTTCTCCACATAATCTGAATAAATATGACATAAGATCGACAGAACGCCAATTCCTAATGCTTTATAGATAGGAAGTCTATTAAATAAAGCTCTCTATAAAAAATATTAACTTTTCTAGAAACAAAAAAATTTCATCTAGTTAGGGTAGTTGCAAGCGATAACACATGCTCACAGGTCCACTTTAAGTGACTTCACCGACAAATTTGGAGAAGTGCCCAAGTCCCAAAGCCAAGTGTCACGGTGAACACTAAAATGCATTTTTTTTAGTAAAAGAAGACGACTCCTAAGTTGGTTTGCCTCCTCCCCTCCTCCGATCCCTAAAACCACTTATCATCTAATCTATAGTCAATAACAACATTCCCTCCTTGACCATTTTGCCTTTGTTTCCTTTCTATCGCAACAGCAACCATCTTCTTCATTTACCTCACTTCTCCCTTCCCTTTCTTCTCCAATCAGTTGCAACAATCCATAATTATTCATTTACGCTCCATTATCATCTCATTTCTATTGGATTTAAAAGAACCTCTTATTGGTTCTAGATATGGATCGATACTATCATTTTTTATGTTCACTTATTTATAGCTTTGTGTAACACCGTAAAATTTAAAACAAACTTTCACATTTTAAACACATTTTTCCAATCACATTTATCAACAAAATCCCATTGTATCATAACTTTGTTTCACAAAATATTTCCCAAGATCAAAATGCATAAATATCCATGCGTGTGTACGAATCATACCGGCGCCTTCCCGGCGATCATCACTGGTACCTGAAACACATAACACATAACACTGTAAGCATAAAGCTTAGTGAGTTCCCCAAAATACCATACATAACACATACTAGACACTTGAGGCTATAACTCTATGAGCTCGTGGGCCCTAACTGTGTGGACCTTCTGATCCTAACTTTGTGAACCTTTCGATTCTAACTCTGATATACTCTGATATATACATGATATAAACCACATAGAAATAATGCAGTACAACACATCACATAATAGCATACGATAACTCTGTCACATAACTCTAAGTACCACTCAAGGTAAGTATAGTGAGAAGACTCACCTCAAATGTCCCGGTAAATCACTAACTCGTTAGAAATACGATCTACCCTCCTCCTAAACACATAAAGTAATACTCTCATAAATATAACTCTCAGAACTAGGCTCAACCCTCTCTAGGCACCCTGAGAAGGGTAAAAGACCATTTTACCCCTCCTTTGGCTCAAAGGCCCTCATTGTTGACCAAACCCTAAAAGTCAACCAAAGTCAACGGTCAAACTTTGACCCGACTCGTCGAGTGCACTTGTGCTACTCGGCGAGTCCACATGTGTCCACTAACTCTTTAGTCCCGTTAAACACATCGAGTCAATCCCTTTACTCGACGAGTCCCCAGGTATGAATCGCGGGGCCACCCCGACTCAACTTGCCGAGTCGCAAGAACAACTCGGCGAGTACATGCCATGCACAAACTCCATTGACCTCCTGAGGTCAGATCTGGCCTTCCCAAGCATAATAATCACGTAAAGTCTAGACCTTGACACTCATATATCATCTAGATGGTTTCATTTGGTGATTTAGCCCCAAAAATGACATTCTAAGCTCATAACTCCCAAGATAATTCATAAAGCTCCAAGGGTTAAGGTCTCTGGACCTATTTGAGTCCAGATCTAAATCATAAACACGAGAAGGGACCAATTGCTACACATAACCATCCTCAAAAGACGTTAGAAAACCCTAACTCTAAGAATCAATACCAAAACTGAAGAAGGTTCGAATAAATACCTCATGTTGAAATCTCTGGACTCTGAAACCACTAGAATCACACCTCCTTCAGTTTCCTCTTGCTCTTGATCACCTTCTTCTTGTTAAGCCAAAGATAGAAAGATCAAATATGGCTTCTCCTTCCTCCCAAACGATTTAGCTCACTTAGGGTTCTCTCAAGGGACTGGTAGCCGCAATGGAGGACTAAGGGTGCCCTTAAATAGGCTCCAACCCCGGGGGATTAGGGTTTCATTAAACAACATGGACTCGCCGAGTCCACTAATGGACTCGCTGAGTCCAGACGCGAACCCGGATGATAATCCGCGACCCTACTCGGCGAGTCTAAGCATCAACTCGCCGAGTTCCTTCACAAATTCCAAAAATAAAATATTAGAATAATATACCTGGGAATTCGGATGTTACACTTTGATTTGTTATACCTTGTATAAAAGTCTTTGTCTCTTTGGAATTCAATAGATGAAATATTACACATCATAAAATTTATAACGTCCTAAAAATCAAAGTAAAATTTTTTATTTAAAAAAAACACTATCCATAAGCCCAAAAGTTACCAAAAAATTGTTTACAAGTCATAATAAGTTAAAACATCGAATCAAACTATCAACCAACATAAACCGTGAGATGATATGTACAATCATGCCTTCGCTTTTCCACGCTTATCAGAAGTACCCGAAACATTGAAATCCAAACTCTAAGACAAAGCTTAGTGAGCTTTCCAAAATACCCATAATACAAACAATTAAAGGTATAATACAAGCATGCAAACAAGATTTGTTAGTCTTTGACCTCAACCCAACCATACTGGGTTTGTTGGTTTACAACGCAGAGCAGTAAAACCTCAACCCAACCATCCTGGGTTTGTTGGCACGTGACCTCAACTGTGACATCCCGATTTTTTTTACGGCTAGAAAAGACCGATTTTGTTTATGCTTTATAAAAATAAGAGTATCTCTTTTAATAAAAATGGTGCGAAATTTGTTCCCAGAAAAACATGATAATCGCGTTATCAAAGCATTTCTAAAGAAATATATTTTTATTCACTTTTAAAACATTTGGGATGTCATCATCAATACAGAAACATAAGCATAAGCAGAACTTACATTTATTTACACTAGTGATCTACATCTCTTTTAAATCTCTCAGTGTAATGTGACTTCATATCAACACCTGTGATATAAATAAACTGAGTGGGTCAGGTTGGGAAACCTGGTGAGTACATAGGGTTTTCAACCCATAATAATATAATTATTATGTTTAAACAATCAAACAATCAACCCAATTACCCATCCCTGTTATCTTCTTTATTCTTAAGGATCTACCATAAGAATCAGCTATTTCTCATTCATTCATTCCTAATAATCATCCTAAGGAAACAACATGAAGTCCATTGTTGCCAATGACACATTGGTCAAGCGCAGCTGCTAATCTTGTCACTTAGGTGCAACTGCCAGAATTGGGACATTTTCTATGAGGCGCTTTTGCCGATATTGACCTTTAAACGCTACTGTCATGGTCATAAGGCTCCCTATTAGGCGCAGCTGCCGATATTGTCCTTAGAGCACAGCTGCTAGGACGTTTACCGTAGATCTAAAACATCTATGGGTTGTGGTGTAACTGCCAGTGCTCATCTATATGATACTAGGTCCACTGCTGCCAATGTATACCTATAGGGCACTAGGTCCATGCTACTAATGTTCCTCTATTTTCGCTTTTATCCCTCATCATTCATCTACCCATGTTTTACCCAACATATTTTGTAGATATAAAATACTTTATACAGTTTAAAACATGTATAAAAATCTTTCACCAGCATAAACAACAAGTATTCAGACAATATGCACACATATCATGTAATTTATAATAAAATACTTCATATCTATGTGTAAGATGAAAGGGACCATGCACTCACTTGATTAGGTTGTGAGTCGACACTCGGACAACACTTCGTTGCTCTTAAAACAATTTCCTTGACAAAACCTAGTATCAACACCACTAGGGTTTAGTCTAACGATAACCGTGACTAATTAATAGTCTATCTATTATTATTATTATATAAGTGTTAAATAACACTCAATATAACTCATAATAATAGCCCAAACAATTGTTTTAAGGTCCTAATAATGTTACTATAATTAATTAGAAGCTATATTAAAACTAGCGTAGGAGTAGCTCACTTACAGCGGGTTTTTTCGTAAAACTGGACTTCGCTGGAGCAGCATTTTCCGAGCCGAAAGGCACTTTTATCAGAGTCGTCGGGCACTCCGGGGCTTCCGCCGTGTTCTAGGGAGTTACCCTAGGCTTTGGGGGGTTAGAGAGGCTTAGAGAGAGAGAGATTTTAGAGAGAGAAAGAAGGGTTTGAAGGTGTGAGAATGAATGGAACCCAACACCTCTATTTATAGGGGTGCTGACTGGCCTACTCACCGAGTTGGTGCATGTGGTAACCTTCTGGTGGTGCCACGTGTCCAATTCTGGTGGTGCCACGTCACCCCCTATCGCATATCAGCCTTCAAACTTAGAAAAATCATACGTTTCGCATATGAGTTCCATTTTTGATGTTCTTTTTTTCAACGCGTAGGTAAAATCAAGATCTACAACTTTCGTTTAGACTCCGTCGGCTACTTCTCAACCGATCTCAAATTTAACAGTAGGAGGCGTTTAGACTGTTAAATAACCGCGAAGAATTCATAACTCCTTCATACGAACTCCGTTTTTGTCTGTA